GACAGGCGGTTCCAAGCAGACTTTTCTGCAGTAAAATACCTACTACCAAAGCCCCTGAGGCCGGGGGGTGGGGCTCCTCTAGACCCGCCAACGGTTGTATCCTGTGTGGTATGCGGGGAAATGAGACGCAGAGCCGCAGAGGTGTTATTGAGGAGATGAAACGACGAACAATTAACAACTACAAAACTGCTCTTATTATACAGTATGCTTTCGTGCGCAACAAGTAATGCACTGAGAAGACAATATGAAATTGGTTTTTCAGGTATTTTATCATCGCAATTTCAGCCAGACGGAACTGGAGGACATCACCTTGATTGTTGATGGTTAGTTTAAATTACATAAAAGAAAAAATAGTTTTACATCTCTTTATGAGACAAAATAAACACCTGGGTCGCCAGTTAACGACCAATGGACAGTGCAGCACTGATTGAATACGCTGAAAAAAAAAAAAAAATTGGAAAAACCGCCAGCTGCTCCACAGATGAAGAATCGGGCTGTAGATTAACAATTATTCAAAGTATTACAAATATGCATTTGTATTAACATTTTATCAAAGCGCAGGTTGTCTTAATCACACGAAAGATGGCTACTGCAATTATCGGCAATTCCGCAACGGTGGTATCGACTACTATCCAGGAAACGAATATAAGGTTATCAGTTTTTCTATTAACTTTTTTTGCATCCCTCATTCCATCATCAGTTTTTTTAGAAACTTTTTTGTCCTACTCCTGCAATAGTGATTTCATCATTATCCCGTTTCTGCGTTTTATTCAACAAGATATATTCACTTGATAAAACACGTCAAGCCTTCTGGTCTTCTTAGAGGACGTTATTCAGTAAAATGAGTTGTTTTGCAGCTCTGTCAAGATACCGAATCTAAGAATACAGCGTTCAACCCGGACGATCCTGAACCGCCAACACCAAAACCAGGTGCAGCCTCAGTTGTTTCCACGCGACTAGCCCTCATAATTGTTTTAATTTTTTTATTTTGCAACGACAGGGAAAAATTTTGAAAGGAATTTAAGCGAAATATTATTTGAAGGAAACAAAACCTTTTGTCGGATGAGCAAAGAACAAGATCATAGCGACCAGACAAAGTAGTAAAACTTGGTGGGCAGGGTATGTTGCTCGTCTCGTCGACAACCATCGGCACCGGTAAGTGGTACTTGGGAGGAAAAAACAACCACCTGAGCAGCCACGGAAGAGATGGCGCACATACATCGAACAGATGGTTAACACTAACTGAAGGTGTGCAGCCTACAACCGAAGGACCTGACATAGCTGTGTGCCTGACGTATAGGCATCACATTAACATGACTAACATGGGATACCCAAAAGATCGCCCGAACGGCCCTGATATTTTTGGTCTGTTCATCTGGAATCAAAAAAATGGTGTCCGGAAAAGAAATTCAGGAAAACCGAAAAATTGGAATTTTTTAAAACGTTCTTATTAAAAAAATTCATCCGAAATTCTATTAGTTTCAAGTGTACTGCTGATCTTGTATTGGGTTTCTAATCTACTTATATTATTGTCAACAGTAGCAAGTTGTAATGTTTATTGGTGCGATTTCTGTTTCCAATAGCGTATATACAATTTGATGCAGGAAACTTATGCAGCATAAAAGCTAAGACTGTGAACAACTCAACAAATTACACTAATGT